GGGGGGAGGGGGGACTGGTGCAGTGCACCCAGCTCTGGGGACTCACAGGGAGAAGGACATGTCCAGACTCTTGTCCTGATGTCCTTGTCCCTCTGATCCCCTCCATCTTCCAGGCAGGCCCTGGGCGAGGGGCTTGAGGGTGAAGAAAGGGGTGAACCTACAGATGCATTTGCTGAGAGCCAGCTGGGCAAGGTTGGGGGTGAGTCCTGGGCAGGGTGCCTGCCCCCAGCCGCCTGCGGGGAGAGAGAGGGAACGAGAATCTAATAGGCCTCAGGGTTCATTCTGCCTGACACCAGCTGAGGCTTCACTGAGTCAGGCACTGTTTTGAAAAAGGCTGGTTTTGGCCAGGGGGTGGGTTTTTATGGAGGTAAGAGCCCAGGCTTTCGAGCCCAGCAGCCTAATTCTCATCCTGGCCTGGCCGGTGATCTGCGTGAGCTGGGGCAAGTGACTCAGCTGCGCGGATCCCCAGTGTTCTCGTCAGTCCAGCGGATTGATGGTGGGCTGCTCTTCATGGGACTGTCGGGAGGTCATTGGAACAAGGTATGCGAAGCACCCGGTGTGACGGAAGCCCGTCTGGCTTCGGCTACTCTTCCCCCAGGATGGCCCTGCTCCATCTCTGCTCTGGGACTTTCTGCCTCCCCGGGGGCCCTGGGAATGGTCCTGGGGTGGGGTCAGCTGAGAGTCACAGAACTCACCTTTGGGTTCTCATGCTGTGAGGGGTCCCCATTAACCACCTACTGAGCCTCCAGCGTTGAGCTCTACATTCTCGAAGGGCCCCTGGCCCTCTGCTGGCCCTCTGCTCCTCGCTGTGTGAGGTCGACCCGGCTGAGGATGGAGAGCAGAGAGCCAGCAGCAGAGGAGAGAAGCCATGCCCACAGCGTCCCCCTGTGCCGCCTCTGGGGGAGGAGAGGGAAGGAAGATATGGGGACAGGAGGTGGGGCTCACGGAAGCGCCGTCAGCTGGCGTCCAGGTGTTTGGGTGCCACACACAGCCCCACGTGGCTGGGGCCACGTGAAGACTCACGGTCTTCTGTCAGAGAAGAAGGCCGCTTCCCCCCCTCCCCCTTGCCTCTTTCTGAGGCCCTGTCTCCTCTCTGACTCTCGGCCTCTCCTTTCCGACTTGCTCAGGCCCCTTCAGCCACTGATCCTAGCACGTCTGTACCAGGAGCTCCAGGCTAGAAGCTGGGCAGGCGGTGATGGGGACTAGCATTGTCCCTGGGGGCTGCTGGCCTCCTTCCCTCTCTGTCTAGACAGAGGTGATCACAGCAGAATCCAGCTCCCCGCAGAGGGACCGGGGAGGGGGCTGTCGTGGTGTGGGGCCTCTTTCCCTCCCGTCTCCACTGAAGGCCCAGGCTGGCTTGCCGAGAAGCCTTCGGCCCCCTCTCCCCACTGTGCACCCACGGGTGTGTCCAGGGCACAGAGACCCTCAGCACAGCACCTGGGCCAGCCAGGGCAGGGCAGGAGAGGAGGGGCAAGGCCTCAGAGGGAAGCTGCAGGTGAGCTCCAAAGGCAGACCCTTTTGCTTCATTCATTCCTGGATCATTTATTGAGCACTTGCTGTGTACATGGCGCTGAAATCCTGTGGAATAAATTGAGAGATGGCCGCAGGCATGAACTAGAGGGGGATGTGGTGGTCTTCGTCTTGGAGTCACTGTCCTGGTTCCCTTATTAACTGCATGGGCCAGTCAAGGAGACTTTTAAGTATCAGAGTCCTTATTTGTGGAATGGGCAGATAATATCTTCCTTGGAGGGAGGTGGTGAGGAGGCTCCATTGAGTGGGGCAGACGGCCTGGGGTCAGATCTCTCCTTTGCTGGTTACTGGCTCTGTGGCCATGAGCAGTTACTAAATGTCTCTGGGCCTCAGGATCCTCTCCTGTAACCTGGGGGAACACCACCTTCCTTCTGGGGTTACTGAGGGGTGGAGCAAATGAGTACACGTTAATCAGAGCGCTTAGAACACTCTGGCATACATTGACTGCAAGGTCAATGTCAGCTCCCGTTTTTGTTCTGTACTTAGCACAGTGCTCGGCACACGGCGGGGGGCTTGGTTAATGGTGATTGTCAGGGCTCCAGGCTGAGGGTCAGCTGTGTGCAGAGCGGGCTTATTGTATGCATCTCTTTGCAATTCATTCATCGAGATCCTCTTGGTAGCTGGGAATTGGCCATGGTGGGAATGTGTGTGCCACGGAGGTGGATAAATGCTACCAATAAAAGCGTTTTTAAAAGGTATTTTTTGAGAGCCGGTTTACTGCACAGTGGCTCTCGGTTGGGCAGGGCGAGCAGAGGCAGATGCCTGGATGCCCCGAACAGGACGTATGCCAGGAGATTCACACACAGGTCTCTCCACCTCCAGTCTCTTAGTATACGGGCAGAGAACAATGTGCTGTTGGAGAGAGCCTTGGGATAAGTGGATGAGGCATTCCGGCTCCTGAGCTGGAGCAGCCAGGGGTGCGGACCAGTGGGAGCTGGTCTGTACAGCTCCCAGTGCACATTGAAAAGAGGTGCCTTCTCTGGGCAGATCAACTCCACAAAGACAGCCCCCCACTTTCCCAGCTAGCTGGGTGCCTTGTGCAGTGCCCAGTCTGCATAACCGTGCGTGGCCGCAGGCTGAGGGCAGAGGGGACCGATATTCCAGCGGGCCTGTATCCATTTCTAGTTCCTCTTCTCTAGAGAGGGGAGGGATTCCTGCTGGGGTGGGCTTGGGAGCCAGAGAAGCCTTCAGAGAGGAGGTGGTATTTGAGGCAGGCCCTGAAACATAAAGAGAAGAGGGTGTTCTGGCAGAGGGACTAGCACGAGCTAAGAAGTGGAGGCAGATCTCAACAGAGCTCTAACAGAGGGATGGGCTCAGGGATTCTAAGTGGATTCTGGTGGGTGCTGACAGAGGAAAGGAGGGTGGCGGGGCTGTGACTGGCCTTTGGGGTGGGGCTGTTGGAGCCCTGGGGGGTTATCTCCATTTGGGCTTTGGAGCCGGGACCCATGTCAGTCTCTTCCACAAGGCTGGGAAGCCCCCATAGAAAGTTCTGGGTAGGGCGCCTGGGTGGCTCAGTTGGTTAGGCGACTGCCTTTGGCTCAGGTCATGATCCTGGAGTCCCGGGATCGAGTCCCGCATCGGGCTCCCTGCTCAGCAGGGAGTCTGCTTCTCCCTCTGACCCTCCCCCCTCTCCTGCTCTCTCTCTCTCATTCTCTCTCTCTCAAATAAATAAATAAAATCTTAAAAAAAAAAAAAATAAAGTTCTGGGTATACCCCAGGACCATAAACACTTGGAGCTCTGAGGGACTCGAGTTGTTCCTGGGTCATTTCTCTGACCCACATCCCCTAGGCCAGGTCTCTGGACCTCCCAAGTGAGCAAATTCCCAGGGCCTGGTGCTGAAATCACCAGGCCCTGGCTAGGGAGGATGTGGTCTGGACGTGGCCTTTTCCGTGTTTCTGGGAACGGCCTTAGGCCCAGGCCTAAGAAACGCTCTCTAGCGCCTTCCCCAGGTCGTGCCCTGGAGTCACAGCTCCTGGGAGGCCAGAGTGGGACAGGACCGAGGGGCCAGGGAGAGATCAGGTTCTAGCAAGAGTTAACGTTTTGTGACCTCAGCATGTGCAACAGCCCTGGGAGTAGAGTTCCTTTTATAGACGAGAGAAGTGACTGTCAGGTCAAAGGGGCTTCTGCAAAGCTACCTGCTAGCCCGGGAGCAATAGGGAGCCGGGGTAAAGCAAAAATTCCGGCCCCAGCAGTCCTGGGCCGGGATAAACAAGGGGTGGACAGACACGAGGGTGATGAGCGCCTGTGTGGTGGGTGGATGCGGAGGAAGGCGGCCGGAGAGGGCATGAATGACGGAGCTGGCAGGGCTGCAAGGCCCCTAGAGACACCCCAGTCTAACGTCCCCCTCTTACAGACAGAAAACGGACACCTAGACCGGAGCCACGCAGAGGAGGCCAAGGCTGCCAGCAAGAGGCTGCAGGGCCGGGTACAGGGCCTCCTGACATCGGCTCCCCGCTCCGTGCCGCCGTCCCGAGCCATGATGAAGACCTTGTCCAGCGGGAACTGCACGCTCAGCGTGCCCGCCAAGAACTCGTATCGCATGGTGGTGCTGGGCGCCTCGAGGGTGGGCAAGAGCTCTATCGTCTCCCGCTTCCTCAACGGCCGCTTCGAGGACCAGTACACGCCCACCATCGAGGACTTCCACCGGAAGGTCTACAACATCCGAGGCGACATGTACCAGCTGGACATCCTGGACACGTCCGGCAACCACCCCTTCCCTGCCATGCGTAGGCTCTCCATCCTCACAGGTAGGTGCCCGGGGTAGGCATGTCCGCTCACAACAAGACTCCCGGGGAGGGGGGAGGGTGCGCCTGGAGGGGCAGAGAGGGCGGCTGCTTGCCTGAGCAGATGATCGAGCTGGGGCCCAAATTCCACTCTGGCTGGCTGTGGATCGAGGATCAAGTCCTGCAGGGCTGCCTTCCAGAAGATCGGGAGCTGATGCAGTGGGGTACGGGGGGTGTGGGGGGGGGTAGTCCTCTCTGGGAACTCTCCTGCTGGAGGTAGCCCAGGGTCAGTCTGCTGGCCTCAGATCTCTTGACACCCCAGGCCTTTGCTGTCTCAGTCAGGGCAGGACCCGGGCAGCGGTCAGTCGAAGGGTAGGCAGGAGCCCTGCCCAGGCCGGGAGCTCAGTAGTAATCAGAATAACAGTGGTGGCCATAGCTAATGCTTATCAAGCTGTGTGCCCCGGCCCATTCTTAGAGCTTGGCATGGATTTATTTCATCCTCACAATTAACCTAGGAGATGGGTCTTTGCTTCCACTTTACAAGTGGGGAAACGGAGGCCCAGAGAGGTTAAGTTAGTCCAGGTGGTAACAAAGGTGGTCCCTGGCCGTCTGGCTCTTATTCTCTACCACTAAACTGTCCCGTAGTCTCTTGGCCCTGCTGGGAATGGTGGGGAGGGAAGGGAGATTGTCAGGGATTAAGGGGGCGCATGGAGATGCAGGACTGGGCATTACTCAGGCAGTTGTGCGTGGCGGCTGTAGGAGGGCGGGCCAGAAACCCGTCTGCCTGGGGCAGCGGCTTCCTGGTTTTGTTCCTCTGGGCAAGTGACTTTATCTGTCTGTGGCTTGGCTTTCTCTGTGTGAGAGCATCATGTCAGCGCCCACCCCAAAGGTCACTGTGAGACGTAAATGAGTTAATACAGCAGAAGTGCTTGGTGAACAGAGAGTAAGTGCTCAGTAAACACTTGTCTTAAATTAACCCAGTATTTATAGAGTGCCTGCTCGGGGCTAGGCAGAGTCCTTTCCTAAGGCATGTTTCTCCCACTGCTGGGCAGTGATGAAGGGAAGGAATGAGCAAGTGCCTCTCTATCCATCACTAAAATAACCCCCCAAATGGAGATGTTCTTGCACCAAGAAACCCACACCATGCACGCTCCTGCCCCTGTACCCTGGCCGAGCCCCCTCCTTGAGCACCCTGGGCAGATGGCTTCTTCCTGCAGGCTGTCCTTGCTGACCATCTGACCCACATCACACTTGGACCCCCCCACCCCATATTTTGGAGAGGCAGTGTGTGGATCGGAGGAGCCCTGGGTTGACCTGGAGCCACTTGGTGGCTCCGATGTGTGACCAGAGGTCTGAGTCTCAGTCTCCCCAGCCGTACAATGGACATCAGCTTGGTTCCCCCCAGTGTGGCTGTGGGGAAACTTCCAGCACCTGGTGGGGGTGCAGGGATGTCCACTCTCCTTGCCTTGGGGAGCGGACTGGGTGCCCACCGATATAAATAAGGCTAACATCAGAGGGAGGGAGAGCGATGTGGAGGAGGACCACGTGCATATTTCCAAAATGCATTTTTTAATTACACCAATGATATGCAAACACACCCTCCTGTAAACACAGAGAAGCCTAAAGAAGCCCCTTTGGCCTGTGTCCCCAACGCCAGGCTCCTGTCCCCTCCCTGGAGGTGGCTGCCCCATCAGTCTGGTGGGGACACCTCTGGACCCCCACGAACACACTGACCTTTATATTTGTATCATCTTCGTAACAGGGAGGGTTTTTGCCCGTCTCTTTTCAACATGCACTTACGATTCGGAGCACATCTGTCTGCTGCTTGCTTTTTTCACTCACCAGCCCGTGCCTCATTTCCGACCTGGTGCTGGTGCGCAGGAAATTCCGAAAGCCATTAATTCTGCCACCAGCTCTCTTTCCAGCTGCCAGCCACGCTGTCTCTGAAGCTTGGCATCACGGTCTTGCATTTGAATATGTCAAGACCGCCGAGTCCTCAGGGGCCCAGGATTAGCCTAATGGGACGGGGTTGGCAGCCCAGGGGGACACGGTTGCCAGGCTGGGGCCGCCTTGCAAGTGCCTCTCTCAGCAGCCCCCACCCCCATTCTTCCCATCCCACCCCGCCCATTCACCCAGCTTTATGGACACCCGCTGTGTGCTGGGCGCTGGGGGACAAGGTCGTGGGTGACACCGTCTCTCACTGTCCTGGAGTGCACGGTGAAGGGTATACCATTGGCCAGAGCATGGTTCTGAATGTGGCATGGGCCTCTCAGCCTTAGTTTCCTTGTCTGGGAAACAGGGAGTTTTGACATCTCCCCACAGGTTCTTTCGAACTGAAGCCAAAGTTTGAGTGTGAGCCATAATCCCAGTAGTAACATCCAGAGATTGGGATGTGGGCATTGCTTGGTCTCTCTCTCCTTGCCCCCCCGCCCCCGTCCCCGCCACCCCTGCATGGCCCATTTCAGACCCAAAGACTCGTCTTGAGTAATGCAGTGAGTTGAAGCAGGGACCGCATGGGTCTTGGAGGCTAGCACTCACTTATTCATCCATGATTTATTCAAGAAGCAGAGAGCACCTGCGTGTGCCAGGCAGTGGCTGGGTAAGGACAGCAGCAGGTCCACGTCTCGGCCTAGCCATGTTCACACTGTGTGATTTTGGGCAGGTTGCTCGCCCTTTCTGAGCCTCTGTTTGCTCACCTATCCCAGGAAGGTACTGAAATCCCCACCGCAGAGGTTTTGGGAGGAGTCGGGGAGGAAAGTGTGCGTGAAGCCCGTGACCCACACTGGCTCTCGTAGGGGCTTGTTCCCCTTGTCATCTCGATACCTAAGACCTCTGAGCCTGGGCCACTCTCCGTTCATTATCCGGTGAAACCCTCACAAGAAGGTGTATTGCATCCACGTGGGACAGATGGAGAAAAGTCAGGTTTCGAGAGGCTGGCCTGACCCTCCGCAGGCTGTGTGACTAGTAAGTGGCAGGGGCCAGATGTGACCCGAGGCCTGCCAGGTGCCGGGACTCTGAGCTCCTACGATGTGTCAGGCACCATTCCAGGCCCCGGGATGCGCTCTGAACAAGTCGGGCAAGACCCCTGCTGCCATGAAAATTGTATTTATTATTAATATTTTAACACAGTCTGCACAAATTCACAAGCAACTCGCTCCATCTCCAGCTCTGCAGCGAAGTGTCGGGGGGATGAACTGTGTCTGAGCCAGGCTGAGCCACACATTCGCTGTGTGACTGTGAACAAGGGCTTTGACCCTCTGGGCCTCAGCCTCCTGCTCTGGAAAATGGGGAGAACAGCCACTCCCCCTTAGGCCGGGAGGGTTGAGTCAGTGACCAGGAGGGTGGCCTCACCACCTGGGTCCCTCTCCCCGCAGGTGACGTCTTCATCCTGGTGTTCAGCCTGGATAACCGGGAGTCCTTCGACGAGGTCAAGCGCCTCCAGAAGCAGATCTTGGAGGTCAAGTCCTGCCTGAAGAACAAGACCAAGGAGGCGGCGGAGCTGCCCATGGTCATCTGCGGCAACAAGAACGACCATGGCGAGCTGTGCCGCCAGGTACCCACCACCGAGGCCGAGCTGCTGGTGTCCGGGGACGAGAACTGCGCCTACTTCGAGGTGTCGGCCAAGAAAAACACCAACGTGGACGAGATGTTCTACGTGCTCTTCAGCATGGCCAAGCTGCCCCACGAGATGAGCCCCGCCCTGCACCGCAAGATCTCCGTGCAGTACGGGGACGCCTTCCACCCCAGGCCCTTCTGCATGCGCCGCGTCAAGGACATGGACGCCTACGGCATGGTCTCGCCCTTTGCCCGCCGCCCCAGCGTCAACAGTGACCTCAAGTACATCAAGGCCAAGGTCCTTCGGGAGGGCCAGGCCCGCGAGCGGGACAAATGCACCATCCAGTGAGTGGGAGGGACACTGGGCTGGGGCTAGGGCAGTGCCTTACAGGAGGTGGCCCCAGGCGCCCGCTGCCCATGTCCCCCCCTCCCTCCCCCCCCGCCCCTCAACGAGACCCCGACAGCAGCCGTGTTCGAAGGCCTCTGGCGCCAGACTGGGCGACCCCAGCCTCTGACCTCTGTATGTTCTCCTTGCCTTCTCGCGACTTCCCTCCGATTCTGCTCTTCTGAGGTCCCCCTGTGCTTTCAGCTCCTCCGTGCGGGGCCGGAAACAAGGCTGGGAGACCTCGGGACTTGTTCCGGCACCCAAGTCAGAGCCGCCCTATCCTTGGGGTTGATGCCGGAGGGGCCAGACTCCCTACCTTGACGGAACCTCCTGGAACAGTCGCGGGGTGATAACGAGCCCCGGAGCCAGATGGGAGAGGACGCTCACCCTCCAATCTCGGCTCAGCCGTTTCCACGCCCCCCACCCCTGGGGTGGCCCCCAGGCATCCCCACCCGTGAGCCAGGGCCGCCGACCCTGTGTTGGGAGAGGGGCGTGGCCACGTCCCCAGACCCCGCCCATCCCGGGTCGGCCGGCCTCCGCCGTCTCCCGCAGATCCCTCCCCTGTCTGCTGGGTGTGCTTTGCTGTCCTCACGTACTGCGTTGTGCGTAGCTGCAGGAACGGAAATCCTTGTACTGTAAAAGCTACCCCCGCCTCGTTGGCAGGACCCCCCGCCCAGGTTAGACCCGCTGCCTCTGCTGGGGACACCTCCCTCCCCGATCGGGATCCCGATCCGGGACAAGGTTTCCAGGGCCTGCCTCCGGCTAGACACTGCTCTCCGTCGTGAGCTTCACAGTTTACACTTGCACTGGGCGGGGGCGGGGGGGGGGTGCAGGCTGGGGCTGCTTCTCCTCCTGCACCCCCACCCCCCCGTTTCACAGAGGAGGCGGCTGAGACTCAGGGGGGAGGTGGCACGTTCCAGTCCATCCCCACCCCACCAGGTTCAGGGCAAGGCTCTGCCTAGAACCACGCCGTCTTCTACTGTGCTCGCTCCTCAAGCATTTATTGAGCACCTACTGGGTGCTGGGTCCACTGTGTGCTAGGAAACAAAGAGGGTGAGCAGTGCACTTTATGCCCCCAAGGCCAGGCCCTTCCCCAGCCTCAGCCTGTTTCCCTCACCCGCATGGCCTGTGCCCGCCCCTGCCGCCCCACTGCCCTGTGCCCTGTGCGCTGTTTGGGGAAGGGTGCAGGAGCAGCAGGGAACCCCCGCCGAGCCCAGAGAGGTAGGTGGGAAGGCTCCTCGTGGGTCCCTAGCTTGTGCCTAGCGCTGGGCTGCTGCGTCCCAGGTGTGGCGGGATTTGAGCCTGCAGACCAAAGGTCTTGTCATCAGCTCTTAACAAATACATTTTGTATCTTAATCTCCTTTAAAATATTGAGATTTAGGGCTACAAGGAACCTTAGTGATTGTCTAGTGAATCTTTCTGAGGCCCAGAGAGGGTGAATGACTCTTGCTCACTCCAGCCCACACAGCAAATCTGTGGGTGGCAGAAGTGGGGCTAAGTCTGGGTATTCGGCACCCCCACCCCCTCTCTTGATGCTTCTTCAGCCCCAGGGGTGGGGGGCCCTTCAGAAACCGGAGGTGTCTTTTCCCTGACCCTCTCTCTAGATCGGTCTTCGAGGGCTCCTATAAATTCTGTGTACGTCATGCCCAGATACGTCCATGTACACACATGTGAACACAAAGCTATGTACGTGCCCCAGCTCCAGGCCTGCATACTCCATACCTCTACCCTGGTGCCCCGCTTCTGTGCCCTCACCCGGCCCCAGCCTGCACCCTCTAAGCAGACTGGGTACCCTGGCCAGGACAGGTGTGTGGCCTGGTCCCACCCGTGATGCCCCCGCTACCCCAGATCTCTGTGTGCGCTACCAATTAAAGTGGGTTTGTTTCTAAGCTGTGTCCTTGACCATGTGAATTTTCTGTATTTCTAAGAGGGTTTGCTTCTTTCTCCAACCAAAGCTGGCCTTGGCCTCCCTAGCTTGCACCTGCCCTGGTGGAAGCACCGAGTGAGTCTTCAAGTTTAAATAGATGGGGGAGGGGGCACCCCCAAATAGGAAGTTGTGCCCCTCTCTTGGCCCTTGCCCTTCTGGGCCTTCTGGGAGGTGTGTGCTGAGTTGTCAGTGTCCCTCTGGAGGGGTAGCAAGGTCAGACAAAAGAGATTCCCCCTCCACCCCATGGGTCATCAGCCCTTTGGGGCCACCATATGTCTGAGTTCTGTGGGGCTCCTGTAGACCATTGATTTTGCCCCAGGGAACGTTTGGCATTGTCTGGAAACATTTTTGAATCACCAGGCCTTGGGTGGGGAGTACTGCTAGCATCTGGTGGATAGAGTACCCTCGTGCTCAGGTCATCTCCCCCAGTAAAGAGTTATCTGCCCCCAAATGTCAGTAGTGGGCAGCCTCAGTTGGACGTTTTGTCCTCAAGGTTGGGACAGAGCCCAGGTCTGTATGGTTGACTTGATGTACAACTTTCTGGACAGTATTTAATAAACGCTGGGCGAGCAGAGCGAGCTTTCATTGGAAATGAAGCAGGATGGGGGTGGAGGCAGAGGGACAGGGGCTTGAGTCTGTGCCACCCCAAACCTGCCCCCAGGGTGGAGGGAAGAGGAAGAGACCAGCCTTGCACCTGCTGTGTGCTTTACACTTCGTGTCTCGAGCCCCGGCCCCCTCTTCAGCTCCATGAGAAACCTGCTCCTCATGTTCACCCTGCTGTCCCTCCACCTTGTCCAAGATGGCACAAAGCTGGTGTCATGGCATATGGGGGATTCGAAACCAGAGGCCATCTTAGCTTCATGTGGGTGAGGCAAGGATTTTGCATCAATGGTCTGTGTTTTTGATCAATCAACAACTGTCACCGAGCATGTAGGTGATGGGGCTCCCAATTCAGAGGGCGAGATCTCTGTCTGGACATTCACAAAGTGAGGGGATCCTGGCCAGGGTGGAAGCAAGACCAGGTGGGCCTGGGGTGTGGGGGGAGCAGGAGGAGAGCTCCCCGCTCTGCCCACCTGGGAGCCTAGCTCCCCTCCCATCCTTTAGCCACACTGGGCAGAGAGGGCAAGTGTAGGAGGCAAATCACTTTGACGCTTTCCCAGTCCTGGTCTTTGTAAGCATGAGACATGGAGGCCAACACGGCCCCCGGTTTCACGGGCCAGCGCGGTGCTGGAAGAGGGGCTAGCGGGATGCGGCTGGGCTCGCCAGGGCAAGCCTTCCCCTGTGCGTCAAGCCCCGGGCCACCTCTGCCACTCCCCGCCTCCACTGGGGACTATGAATAAGTCATGTCCTTTCCCAGACACTTCAGCTTCTTTATCTCTACAGGGGAGGTGGGGACAGGGCAGTTGGACCAGACAACATACGAATAGCCCCTTGCAACCCTATGTTCTCTGCAAGGAAGAATTACTATTCCCATTACATAATCCACAACATTCCACTCGTTGCTAAACAGAACACGCTTTCTCCCGCCCCTGCCCCGGCTCCCTGCATCCCCCAGGCTCACCCTGGGACGGGGTTACGGAGCGCGGGGCTGGCTGCAGCAGGGGACGCTTGCCCCACAGATCTCTGCTTAGCCCTGGGACGGAGGGTAGAATGGGATGGTCGGAAAACTCCCCACAGTGAAACCATTCAGAGACAAGCGCGGGACAGCCGGCTTAGTTCCCGACCCTAGGAAGGGAACGCTGGGAATCTGATTTCAGAGAATTCTGTGCTGCGAACTCCAAGTACTTATTCCGTTCTGCTTCCCTGAACCTGTCACTTACTCAAAAGAAAAACTTCAGTCTGGGTCACGGTTTGCTGGGGCTGACGGGAGGCCAGCTGGGGCTCAGCAGCAAAGGCTGCTGGGAACGGGGGTAGGGAGGGAGGGGGGGCTTTGTTGAAGACCTACTGTGCACTGAGCACCGTGCTGGGCCTGTCACCTGCAGCCTCTTGTTGGATCCTCGGGGCAAAGCTGTGTGGGAGGATTATGACTCCCTTTTTACTTTACATACCAGGGAACCAAGGCCCAGAGAAGTGAAGCCACTCATCTGAGGTTGCACAGCTCTAAGTGGCAGAGCTGAGCTAGAATCCACGTCTGATCGCAAAGCATGTTTTCTCCCCAGAGTTTTCATAACTGAGTTGGCTGAGGGGCTGCTCTCTGGAGGGAGAGACTGGGAGGCTGAGGTGTGACATCTGAACATAGTTCAGCAACCTTGAGCGGATGTCATTCATAGGGAGTGAGATGCTCTACAGCTCGTTGCAAAAGGTCCAGACACTGCAACAGAAGAACTCTTTCATGGGAAAGTCTGAGATGAGTGTGCTAGGCCAGGGGGTGGCTCTGCTCCACGGGTCATTCGGGCATCCAGGTTTCAGGCCACCCCATCTCTAGGACCATGTCACCATCTGCAAGGTCAAAGCCATAGTCACCACATGAACCACATTCAGGTTCAGCCAGCGGAGTAGGGGAAGAGACTGTAGAGGATGCTGCTCTCAGGCCCTCCCACTCACTTCCACTGGCCATGCACACCTGTGGGAAGGGCTGGGAAATGCAGTTCCTTGCCAGGTGACCCCACGCCCAGTGGTGCCTCCACCTGGAGAAACGGGAGAGGCCATCTGGCTGGCCAGCTAATGGTCCACCCTGCACCCTCACTCATCGGGTCCAGAAACTCGGGCCACCGTGTGCAACCAGACTTCACTCAGAAAGCACCTGGACCTCCCGCTGCTTCCTTAAAGTGGGTGTGGGCTTTATTTTCCCCTGTCCCTTGATAAATCTTGGACCGTCCCGTGGTTTTTCTCATCGATACCAAAGACTCTTCAGGTGGCAGATGCAGCCTCAGTTAAAAATCCTTGGCCCATGTGATGATGGACAGTTCAGTCTTTGGGCAAAGGAAAGACCTTCCCTCCTCCCCCCAGCTGTGGTCTGCTCACACAAAAGGGTAGAAACTGAGGAAGAGAAGGATGGGCAGGTTCTCCTTTCCTTGCTCTCTGGCTTCCCTTTTAGCTAATTCTAGTTTCGCTCTCCTCCGCCCTTGATCCTTGGGAGGTGGGTCTGGTAGGGGTGGGGGGAGGAGGTCAGAGGAGCAGAGAAGTTCTTTCTTGCCCGGAACTATGGTGTCACGGTAAGACAATGTCGCGCTCGGAGCATGGGAGATGTTTAACAATGACATTAAAATCACAGGTATAATTTCATTGATTTTCCCGACCCCATCCCACCATCCTTGGCAGCGGCTCACCTGCAGGCATTGTGATGTAGTTCTGTGCATCTTTATGTGGGTTGCTCGCTAGGTCCTTTCGCTGCCTCTAGGAATGTTCTAATACCTGTCGGTTTCCCGTGCTGAGACCTCTTGCCCATCCACAGTGTTCTCTTGGACGGGGCTCAGGCATTTCCCTGCCAGCTTTCTCTCGTGGTTTCCCCACATCTGGTCTGTATGAAACTCACATCCTTGGCCCCAATCAACTTTAGGAGTATAAACTGATCTGAGTTCAGTACGGGTCTCTGGTCTCTAACTCAGACGATCTAACACTCATTAGATTTACCAGGCAGAGGACAAACAGTGGTCCACAGAGCCCTCAGCTACGAGGACATGCATCAGGCACTCTAGGCTTAAACTGAGGGGCAGACACTCCCACAGCATGCCATAGCGCTCTTGGAAATGTCCGTTTCCCAAAAAAAACCCTCTCACGACGGATTCTTTTATATCTTTGACATAGGTGAGAAGTATGAGAGTCAAGTAGCTGGTTCTTGGCCAGATATGTTGAAACTTTTGCCTTTGGTTTGGCACCTGGCTTTGGAATCTGAGATCAGTCTCCTTAGGGTCTCCGCAGAAATGAAGGGGAGAGGGTCAGGACCATCTGCCAGGAGGAGGGGGCTGGAGAATGGAGCCAGGGAGGGACTCCAGCCTCATCTAAGAAAAGGAACACGGCACAGGGCTGGGCTGGGCTTCAATATGGATCCTGTCCTTACTGGAAATGTGGATATTTTGTTCATTGTGAATGTCTCAGTCCATTTAGGCTGCTATAACAAAAATACCATAAACTGAGTATTAACAATACTCATACTACTAGATAAACTCATACTACTCATACTCATACTACTAGATAAACTGCCTTATAAATGACAGAAATTTATTTCTCACAGTTCTGGAGGCCGGGAAGCCCAAGATCAAGGCATTGGCAGCTTCCGGATCTGGTGAAGCCTGCTTCCTTGTTCATGGATGGCAGTCTTCTTACATGGTGGAAGGCATAAGGAAGCTCTCTGGGGTCTTTTTTTTATAAGGGCATTAATCCCATGTAGGCTCTACCCTCATGACCTCATCACCTCCCAAAGGCCCCCCCCAAATACCATCCCACTGGGAATTAGGCTTCAACATATGAATTTTGGGGGACACAAGCATTTCATCTATAGCAGCAGATTTTTCGCATTACTTTTTATTTTTAAAATTTTGCATGAAAATATTATTTGGCTTGATTCCTGAGTTTTTTGACAGCTGTCTAAATTTTGCCCCAGAGGCAGTTGCCACACACACCTCACTCTGGCCCTGGCCCTGGCTCCGGGCTCCAGGTTGGGTTCCAGTCTGTTCCACGCATTCGTTTGGGGACACACACACCCCCCACCCCCTCGGGCTGAAGAACCCGCAGCCACCCAGGGAATGCACTTCTCAGGACAGATCATCGGATCACAAAAGGAGGGGTGGGAGTATGAGATGCCTTCCGAGCCTCAGCCTGGGACTGACGCACTGTCACTTCTGCCATATTTCACTGGTCAAAGCAAGTCCTATGACCAGCCCCCAATCCACAGGGTGGGGAAACGTACTCTGTCCGCTCCAGGGGAGTCACGCGGCAAAGGGCTCGCACGTATGGTATGAAGGATGGTGAACGTGGCTTAATCTACCACACCTAGCTTCTCGGTGACTCGCTTTCCTCTTT